CATATATATAATTTCACTAAATGTGGTATACCACTTGATCACAGCATTGAAAAATAGTGATTGTGACAAATGAAGGGGGATAACTTATGTAACTTTACATAACAAGTATTTTAACATTTACTTCCCTTTAATTATTCATGTTCAATATTATTAATAAATGAATACGTTTACTGATTTTCTACGTTCTAACAGGTATAATAAGAGTACACGTACTCTTGTTTTTACGAATTTTTCTCAAACATCGCATAACTAGCCTAGGTGGAGGAACCAGCCAGTTATTTTCTCCTGACCAATTTTGAGCGAAAGCGTCTACTCCTGATGTACCTGGGCACCAGAATCTTGAATTAAACATTTTACATTTAGTATTACAAGAAAAGCATTGATGCAAAGCATCAAAAGGCGTCCAAGCAAGCAATGCAGCAAGTGAAGATGAACTAGTAGACATCTGATGACTAGATATTCTTATAAACTTTTCAATGGTTAATTGGTTTTAACCAGTATTGTATATCATTTATGAATGGGCGGACGAAAGACATTGTCCATCATGAACTTTGGTAGGCAAGCTAGAGGTTTGAATATTAAATGTTTTTTCCACAGGAACTTTAATTCTACCAATGTTAACGATAATATCCAAAATATACAGGTCTATAATATCTAAAATATACCCCCTATATGGTATAAGTTTATTTATACTATATTGGGGTATTTTTGGATATTATCATTAATATTAGTTATTTGATAGAATCTCAAGTTCATGTGGTATTTTCTTTGGAACATACAACATAATAGTCAAAATGGACAAAGTTTGTTAACTGATTTATTTGGGAGGTCAATCTACCATTTTAATGACCTAGTCTGACCCATCAGTGTGTTTACATGCCTATCAATAAACCCATAAAATTGCAGACGAAGAATGATAATACTATGATAAAACAATTCGTAAAAATTGCCTACTTAAAGATTGCAATTAATTGTTTTAATATGTTTGCATTTCATTTCCTGCAAAATTCTCCAGTTCGTTGCGACACGAATGACCGTTTCGGTAAACTAAAACTACTTCTATAAATAGATTTTCGGACTTTCACAATGTTCTGGTCATCATTCTATTTATAGGTAAAGCAATAACACACATAATAGCCCACTGTGTACTACAAAATGATTAATAAAAGTACCGAAGAGCGCGATTAATTGACGGATATTGTCCAACAATATTGACCTGGCACTTCATTAATTTTCGGAAAGGTCATATGAATAAACATTGACTATTACCTACCGAATATATCGATATTTTGCTAACTTCACTCGTCTGACAGTGAGGTGTGGTGTATTGGTATAGATGTCGGACTACAGATCTGAAGGTCTCTTGTTCGATACCTAACCAACACCACGTTATGATTTTTTTGAAATTTAATTGCAAGAATTAATTTGAAATCGTTTCACTACACCTGGTTTTAGAATACCTTTTAAGTGGTGTTTTTATGCACAATTATGTCTTTTATTTCATTAACGTATCTTTCAACGGTTCTTTATGTGACATTATGCAATCGTATATGCTTAAGCGCATACATGCTATAAAGGCAGTTATTAAAAATTCTACAAAGATAGTACACACAATAAAAAGGTTTGCAATAGTTTAAGGTGATTCTGCTTTGTCAGCCATGTTTGTTTTCACCAAGACTGTCCAAAGTGAAAGTAGGCCAAAATTCATATAAAAAAAGCTCACAATGTAAAATGATGAACCATTGAAAGTGCCCTTCCAGGTCTATGTTTTAAAAATTATTAAAAACAGAAATAAAACTGATAACAAAAAGAATATTTACCTTGAATGTGCTACATTTCTGAAGACCAAGTACAATCTGTTGTCAAGTTTTATACACATTTCATGAATGGCAAAATCCAATTTAGTGTCTGTTTTAGTGCAGACAAATGCTAGTTTTTGCATAAAAAGAATGGCAATTTCAAAATTAAAATAAAATTAAATCGCTGAAATAGGATTCGAACCTACCAGTCTACGTCTACAAGTGAAAACCCTTTACCAACTGCGCTAAGAGGGAATTTTAATGTACACCATTTTAATAATTCATATCGATTTACAAGTAGATCGTAACGTTTACGGAATATACCGACTACAGGGTCAAATGCAAGAGTGCCAGGTCAATGTTGTTGGACAATAAGATAATTTAAGTTGAATATGTTTACATTTTTTGATAATCAAACACTCATACCAATCGGAATGTTCGGCTATTATGTTCGACGAAAAGTTCGGTGCGGACGCCAATAATCGTATGCAAAACGAGCAAAGGTATGTGAAAGCCCTTGGTCTTCAAGTAATTCAAATGCATTTTTTTTTGCAGCTATATATTAGGACGTTAACTTTTTTTATTCAATCAAACTAAAATGTGTTTTTTCTTATCACCGACTAGGGATATACAATAAAAACAATGAACGTTTCAGTAACACATTTGCATCAAAAAGGCCACTTTCTTACTAGAAATTATCAATTTAAATAGAGTCCGTTGAATGTAATGTATCAAATGAATTTTTTCTCTATAAGTCATATAGAGAATTTGATCATATTAATCTTACGAATAACGAACATAGGTATTCCAACAAGTTTTCCGTAGAGTGCAATTAAGTTACACGTAGCATACGGCGCAGGTATTTCGTTTGTACATGATCAATATCGTAAGCAGGGTGCATACCCCATATTTCCGATCGGGCGATACCAAGGAATCAAATAGCGTGCATTTCTGATAAACAATGTATTGGCAGTTCTACGTTATTTAATATTGCGCGCATAACTAGCATGCTGCGCGATATTCTTCTGTGATCGATATCAATTTCCATTTTTTTTTATAAAAAAAAAACAAAACGTTCAACCAAGATTTTTAAAAGAATTACCTTATTCTATTACTTCATTATTTTACATAACAATTATAAAAGGTATGTCTCTCCATTTTCAAATATCATGCCCTTTTTTAAAGAAGAATTAACTCCTTCCATTTCTGAAGAATATTAGTTTTAGATACATTTAGCTGTTTTTATTTTGGTGTGAATAAAGAACCATTTTTTTTGTCAGAAATATTAAATAACAAATGCTACGTTACGAAAATTATGTATCAAATTGATAGCATATATATACCAATTGTATACGATCTATGATCTACATCCACAATGCAAGCTTTCTTTAGGGCCCTTTGATAGTTACTCTGTTTTTAAGTATTGTTTTAAAACAACAATGTGCTATGTCCCAAGCATGTATGCTACAGTATATTACATGACTTATTTCTGATATTATCTTAACTATGACATTGATACTAGTTTTTTTATCATTTATTTGTTTGTAAAGAAAAGATTTAATTTCCCACTACGGCAGTCTGACTAATATCTATATTTTCTTCACTATATTGTTGGTTTAATGATGAAATCAGTGTAGCCAATCAGAATCACCAGGTGAAACAATGATACTTTTGTGAAAAATGCAATGTCATGTACCGCATTGTCTATAGCAAACAATAAAAGTTGGAACAAAATGGTTTATCAGATACTTTCAAACACCACCTGACAATGATAAATGTCTGATGTAACTTAAAGTAACTATTTCAGAATGTGAAACCATGTGTATTTAATGTTGATATCATACATATTTTAAATTTTTTTAAAAGACTAAATCTGGCTCTGGTATCCTTATTTACGGTTTGATATAATTGTCCCTCTCAGTTAATTTTCATTGGTCCACAGATTTAATAACTTATAATTATGGCAATTAGACCATTCCTATAAGTTAAAAGGAAAATAATAACTTGTAGTTAAGGTTGTTGTAAATCCGCTTTTATTAACTGATACGCCACGTGTAGATAATTTGTCTTATAGAGCGGGAACTTCCTGACGTACGTTATGCAATTAACAAAATAGATTAAGCCGATTCTTTTATATCATATGATACACATTGTATCACATTGTGATGTGTAATGTAGCCAGAAAATATGTTAAACTTTGTCTCGATATTATCCTGTAGCTGTGAATTCAAGAGTCCATGAACGGATATTCATATATCGATGAATTGTGATATATGCAAAAAAGATTTCAATTATTTTGAATTGTGTGTTATATGCAATAGATTTCAATTATTATGAATTGTGATATATGCAATAAAGATTTCAATTATTTTGAATTGGGATATATGCAATAAAGATTTCAATTATTATGAATTGTGATATATGCAATAAAGATTTCAATTATTTTGAATTGTGTGATATATCAGAAAAAGTCTAATCATTATGAATTGTGATATATGCAATAAAGATTTCAATTGTTATGCATTGTGATATATGCAATGAAGATTTCAATTATTATTAATTGTGATATATGCAATTAAGATTTCAATTATTATGAATTGTGATATATGCAAAACAGATTTCAATTATTATGAATTGTGATATATGTAATAAAGATTTCACTTATTATAAATTGTGATATATGCAATTAAGATTTCAATTATATTGAATTTTAATATATGCAATAACGATTTCAATTATTATGAATTGTGATATATGCAATAAAGATTTCAATTATTTTGAAATGTGTGAACTATTTAGAAAAAGTCTAATTATAATGAATTGTGATATATGCAATAAAGATTTCAATTGTTATGCATTGTGATATATACAATAAAGATTTCAATTATTATTAATTGTGATATATGCAATTAAGATTTCAATTATTATGAATTGTGATAATAATATGCAATTAAGATTTCAATTATTATGAATTGTGATATATGCAATAAAGATTTCAATTATGATTAATTGTGATATATGCAATATATATTTCAATTATTATGATTTGTGATATATGCAATAAAGATTTCAATTATGATAAATTGTGATATATGCAATAACTATTTCAATTTACATATGGAGCTTGATACACATAATATAAGGAAAAGACAATTCTTTGTTGGCGAGATGACACACGAAGAAGAACCTAAAACAAGTATGATTGCATTGTTTTATATGATCAAACGAAAACAACAACGACAAGAACATCAAAAAATGAAGAAAAACAAAACAAAATCAAACCAAAAAACATTTTTTACATAAGAAGTTTAAAAATGGGTCAAAGACAGAAAAGGCCGGGTTGCATTTGTATACCAAATATCACGAGGCTTTGATGTTACAAAAAATGTTTACCATTGACCATTAATGTCAAAAATTTAACTAAGTCGTTAAACCGGAAGTGGATGACCGGCAGATCTGAAATGATATCACAGTGTATGGGACCACTAGTTAATACTGTGTGCCAAATTTTAAGAGGCTGTGATAAGTAGTTGCTGAGAAAAGTGTAACAAAAAATTCCTACCTCTGACCATTAATGTCAAAAATTTAACTAAGTCTATAAACAGGAAGTGGATGACCGACAGATTTGAAATGAAATCCCACGATATGGGACCACGTGTTGATACTGTATACCAAATATCCAGAGGCTGCAACACATAGGTGCTGAGAAAACTGTTACGAAAATTTCCTACCATTGACCATTAATGTCGAAAATTTAACTAAGTCGGTAAACCGGAAGTGGATGAGCGACATACCTGAAATCGAATCCCACAGTATGGGACCATGTGTCAATGCTGTATGCTAAATATCAAATGGCTACGGTAAGTAGTTACTGAGAAAACTGTTACGAAAATCCCCCGCCCGCCCGCCGCCAATCATTTACCATACTTTAACCCGGGTTTGAACATGTGCAACCCGGCCAAAAATGATAGTCAGGAAACATAATCTAATTTAATACATAAGGATGTTCCAAAACATGTTGATCAGTTGAACATGGACTCTATCATATACCGGTGCCAGGGGGCAAGTACGATAGCATGTTATATACGTATATTATATGTATAACTGCTGTGATCAATGAAATCGAACTTGCAACAGTTTCATCTTCGCCCCATTTAGAAGTCTTATGGTTTGGGTTATTTTCATGGTTTTCTATTGGATGGGACTTCACTTTGGTAAGTCAGACTTCGGTCTCCAGCCATTTTCTATAATCATTTTGACTTTAGATACCTGAAATTTATTTAGGCAAAATGGCTCTGATAGCAAGTCATCAACATTGAACTCCCGAAAAAAAGCACCATCAAGTTTATTCGCGCTGCAATCAATTGCAAGTTTGTTCATACCACACAACTTAAAACATTCGACCAGTTCCTCCACAGAATACGAATAGAAATCTTCTTCAGTTTGGTTTTCTTCTGATGATTTCCTCAAATCTGGAAGGGTTGCCGATTTTAAATCTTGTTCCACTTCATGCCCCACGGCGGTTGTTTCTTTCAAACTATGATATGCCTTACCTTCAATATTATAATATGTATCTATGTTGTCAAGGCCTTTCTTTGATTTTTCTTTGGCTGAAATGTTCTCATGCTGTGCCTGGAAAAATAATTTTGTCTCCACACTCACTTCAGAACATATGTACTCACTTTGTACTAGCATTATATATCTCATGTTAAGAGCTATATATGCATATTTTTAAAAAATATCTGATAGGTAATGGCTTTGGATAGTGTTACTGAAATATTTCAATATAAAATAAACTAATGGTAAAGAATAATGATAAAATGTATTTGCACGTTTAGTGTTTTTGACAAGATAACAATATCAATTTAAAAATATAGCACATCAATACTTAAAAGATTTTTATGCGAGAAATAATTCTAGTATTGAAAATATTTTATTTCTGAAAATGACTTTATACCTTAGGAGATCGACCAGGATGTGGTTCTCTCCCTTTGACAGCTACTGAAAAGAATGATAAAACATTTAACATTCAACTGCATTGAATCTGCGCAACAAATTGACATTGGATAAGCAGCTACAATCATTATAAAAACAATTTTATGCTGAAGTATCAAAAATATTTAGAGATAACACTAAACTGGTAGTGACAAAGAGGTTTTGTGTTTCCCTGGTTTAAATCTTGTGTAACAATGCAAATACTAGTATTTACAATGATTACCATTTTGTTCAACATGTACTGTTCTGCCCTTGGTAACATGGGGCACAGAGGGGTTTCTGAACGATTTTGGCCTTGGAGGTATTACCGGGGAATCGGTCCAAAGCTTTACATACTCTGTGTCATCATCATCTACAAAATAATTATAATAATAATGATCATGATGAGGAATGGTTTTGAAGTGGGTTTTTACAGTAATTACACTTATCTTTCAGCATCAGGCTTTAAATTAATTTAGTTGTACAAACACAACAAACTTGACAATGTAAGGTGGTGGCAGAAATGTGTATGTACGCATAAAATCTAGAATCTAAGTTTTAAGAAAACAACAAAATACACACTCTCAACTTTAAATTTAGTTTCCCGCTGTGTGATTTTTGTTAACGCTGTACGGAGCATATGTTGTAATATCAGGGTGTCTGCTTTTTTACATTTGTTTTGAAGGTCACATTTCACTTTATTGAAATTTCAAGGTACAAACAAGTGATTTGTTTCCTACCTGTATTTTCATAGTTCACTGCTCTCCCGGTTGCTGTAAAGGAAAACATGGTTTGTTATGATATTTTGCTCCCAATAAAAAGATGCAATTTATTTCCAAAAATACATTTATGTATGAGATTACGGTATAATAGGTAACGCATAAAGTAAATTATTAACTGTTAAATACACGGTAAGCTCAGTTTTCAACGAGACAATGAAAAGAAAAACATCGTCATTGCATTAATTTATGTGTCTGATCATGTTGCTAGTATCAATGTTTCATATAAGATATGGTTTAGAATGTTTTTCCTGCTTTCAAAAGACTAGACGGTCATGATAGCACCGTATCGCTCACTTGAGATATATTACTAGAAAATTTCAGAATTTCAGTGATGGGGTCACATTGGGTTTGTCATTTTTTACCAAAGCATCACACTTTGTTGTGGATAATTGTGGATGTCTGCAACTATAAATGCTTCATGACAAATATCTAAACTTCAGGAAGACACAAAAGAAGACAAAACGTGTTTTCCTATACAAGACTATATAAGCTACGTGACCCCGGGGCAGGGTAAATTTTGATCCAATGGTCATGATTTATATTACTTTTTTTCTGCAGGACCATAACTTGAAGGCAAAGTGATCCCTCGGAAGCAGTAATCACAACAAAATTATAAGAGAATTGCAGACTCGGTTTGATTAAGTCTGTACATGAGGGATAATGATGTAAAACATCCAAACTCTTTGCATTATTCTTTTAAAGAAGAATTTGAAAACATATTTTTAATAAACAAGTCTTCATGCACTAACTGACCAGGGGGCGCGGCCATTATTGACACTAGGGGCATGATTTTACTTTTCTAGAGGGCCACACTGTGACCTTTCACACAAAATATCTAAGCACTTGACAATGTACTTTCAAAAAAAGATTTTCAAGATATTCATACTCTAAAAGTCTGTATCAGCTAAGTGACCCCAATAAAGCGTGGGGCATGCCTTATATAACTTTTGTAGGTAATCTCTGACCAAAACTACATGCCAAAAATCTAAGCTCTTGGCATTGCAGTTACACAAAAGAAGAATGAAATAAATAAACAAGTCTATATAAAATATGTGACCATTGTGGCGGGGTAAATTTTGACACCACGTGCATTTTTATATGATTTTTGTAAAGGACCACAAATTGATACTACAAGCTAAATATTCAAGCTCTTGAAATTGCAATTTCTCAGGGGAAGTCTTTTTAGACAACTTACTGTACATGTCTGTATAAACTAAATAACCCCAGGGCAGTGCCAATTTTGACCACAGGGGCATGATTATTATAACTTTTGTATGGTCTACTTGGCTATGCTTTATGCCAAATATTTAAGCTATGTGCATTGCAGTTTCATAAAAGAAGACTTTAATATATTTTTCTATATATGCCTATGTAAACAAAGTGACCAATAAGGCGTAGAGATAAATGACCCCGGAAAAATGATTATATTACTTTTGAAAACGACCACAAGGTGATGTTAGGTGCCAAATATCTAATCTCTTGGCATTGCAGTTTCTTTGAAGAAGATTTTTTTTAGTGATTTTATGTTTGAAGAGCATTTTTAGGTCCTGTGACCTACTTATGCATAAGACTGGAACCATTTAAATAATGTTTTGTGGAGGAGTACCTTATGATCGTGAAGTTAAGTCATAATACATAAGGGGATTAATGAGGAGATGATGTTTAATAAAATTGTGGACAACGAGGAACGATGGATCACGAACGACGGGCACACTGCACAAAGTGCTCAGGTGAGCTAAAATATAAAACGTTTTCAAACTCACGAGACATTTAATGATTCGAAATTAGATGTTTCATTATAACAAAACTGTTTAATTTAAAAGTATACCAAAACTCGTAAAATATACCACCTGAGTTTCCACTTGTATATGTATAAGGTGCTTTTATCCACACCACATCAGTTGCTTTAGGGCACATCGTGTAAAGTCCATTAACTACAAAGCTGAACTCATTGTGTTCTCCGAAATTGTGCCTTATGTAATCTTGTCTTTCTAAGTCAGACGTAAATGTTTTCAACTCTATAGTCTGAGTTTTCCAGATGTTACTGGGAATTAATGCAACGCTTTGTTCATTCCTATCACAACGTTTAAGCCAGGCAATAAAGACCTTTCGACGGACATCTGTTTCTAGAATTTTAATTGGTCCTCCAATCAACTTGAGTAATGTAGTTGCTTCTTTCGCGTCCGACGTAAGAACATCAGTCGATGAAATAGTTAGGAACCTGACTTTCTTTGGTAAAAGTATTGATTTCTTTGTAATATTTAGAAATGTATGGTCTTCGGGATCATCCACACAAGTACAATTAAGTGGAAAGTCCTCACTAAATCTATATATGTTCAACGTTTCCGACTGGCATTCTATATACCAATTCTTTTCAATTGAAAAAGCTCGCTTTACCTCAAGTTTTGTGCCGGCAGGAATACAGGTTGTAGCATGAGATTGACCAGGTGGGGTATACGACGTGTCCTCCTCAATTTTTATAAATCTTGGCAAGTCTTGAATTATCTGAATATTAAATTTGATGATAAAGAACATAACACATATTTATATTAACAATACATATCTATACAATTAATCAATCATATAACAATGAAACATTGCAAAGTATCCAGTCACATTTGTATTAAGCGACCGCGTAACACTAAAATGGTCGTGTCTTAAAGCAAAGAATGATAGAAAGTCAAACTTTATAAATTATATATTCCTTTGCAGTCCGTGGGTGGGGGGGGGGGGGGTGGAGGTAAAAAAAATCTGGAAACAAATTGATCCCTTGGAAGCATTAATCACAACAAAATTATAAGAGAATTGCAGACTCGTTTTTGGGGGCGCAATGCGCCCCCAATGTAATAACGACAAATTCAGATTTACTATGATGTGAACACAATTAGTCAGCTACCTACGCTAAGCAAAATAGTTCCAAAACTTCGCAGTAACTCCAAAATCATAGTTCCCTATCTATTTTAAAATTGACTGGCCAATTTTGTACTAAATTTAGCAATCGTCTTTTAAAATTGTAAGTATATTTTTGCTTTACGCGATTTTAATATTACTACGCCAGCGGTCGATCATAGCCAAAGTACTTGCATAAATATAGTACAAATTACATGTAGTAACAAGTTAATTAAGTGTCATAGAACTCAAAAATTTAGCAAGTAATGGAATACGGATTTCAGATCAGCTAACTTTAAAGCTTATAGGGCCTAATGCTTCATAAGTGTAAATTTAAGAAAAACAATGCATGCGTATGAATACGAACTATTTTCGCCCTTACGTCATTTTACCGCAATCGCCATTGTTTACAAGTTCATCCGTGAAAGATTGAGAAGTTTATATAGAAGTTCCACGTGTTAAAAACGAGTTGTAAGTTTTATTTTACAAAAAACCTTATCTCCCATTTACCTAAATGTTGTATAACTTTGCTTGTTTTGCATTTATCCATTTATCAGTGGCGAAATCGTCGTCAAATCGTTGGCGATTCTGGTGCTTACAAAAAAATACAAGGACTTAATACCGATATGACTTTAAATACAACGTTATTCAAGATGATGATGTTCATTGTTTATATTTAATAACGTTGATATTTAAGTTTGCAATCAAAAGCTGTATTTTTTACAAATTTTCTTTCACAATCGGCCATTATCGGGTAAAGCTTTTTTGTACTGAATTGACCTTATCAAATTTTAAGTTTAGCAGTTCCTCCCTTGAAAGTCCTCCTCAAACCATTTCCTACCCAGACATTTTTGACCCATTTTTTTTTTTTATATATTTTTGGAGGTGAGTTATTTACATCTAGCGTATACATATTGTTGATGCTTACCTTACAGCTTTTTTTAAATAAAAAATATACAAGTTCAGTAAATGATGTCTTATTACATTTTCTCAAAGAATGAAACTGGATCCACAGTGCATAATCCATATTTGTACCCCTCTTTGCGAAATCTGCTGAAAGTGTGCGGTACCCCGAGGTTTATCATTTTCACTGCTTAAAACAAACCAGCGGTGGATAACAATCATGTATAAAATTTCATTGTAAATAAGGGAAAAGAGCTGAGGTATGACACTTAGGAAACCACAGAACACTAGATTGTTTTATTTATGTGCTGATTCATCATGTGCAGTCTCTCATGTACTGCAACTTCATAATAAGCTAAAAAAAATCGACATGTCTTGCCTTGTCCATCACCTCGCTTACAGACACTTCACCCCCAGACACTTCACCCTAGGCCCTTTTTTGCAGACACTTCACCCCCATTTTAAGAAATTTGAGTAAGGTTATAAATTATTTTTACACTGGGGATTAGCATTGAAAAACCCTGACATTTGCTTAGTTCTGTGTAACATCTATACAGCTACCAGTACAATTTTTTTTTTTGGAAAAATGCGTTTTGACTCAAATTGATACTACATAACTGACAGGGTATTCATGCCACATCGTTAATTTAGAATTTTATCCAGGGAGACATGAGAATTATGCATAATATTTATACACATTTAAAGTTAATACCATGCATAATATATTGATTTCTTATTGGAGTGAAAAAAATGAAGTACATGTACATAAAAATGTTCGGAAGTATAAAATGAACTAGGTAACAAATATTGCTCTGTCAGATGTAGTTATACTTGGTTTTTATCACATGATTCACTTTATCAATATGAAATCATCCATTTTATATATGCCAATTTTGGATGGGAATTTTTGACAGTAATTTTTGGGACTTTAAAAAAAAAACATTTGAAAATTTGCTGTCTTTTTTTATTGGGAATGTAAATAGTTTTATTAACGGAAAAAATGCTGTTTCTATTACAAATAGAATAGATAATAGTTACAAATACTACAAATAATATATCAGGGATTGAAAAACGAAAAACAAACAACAACAACAATGCTTAAAAAATATAAATTTTCCTACATGTGCTGACTCATTTTCTTTTTTGAAGACATTTTTTCTTTTTTGAAGACACTGTTTAACTTACTTCTTTCTGCTAAACATTGCCAAATATTGCATTGGTGACATTTTAAAAAAATTTTTGTGGAACATCACTGAATCGCCGCACGGGCTTTTAGGTAATTTTTACAAAATAGAATCAGACAGAATTAAGCGCTTGCATTCAACAAATCAAACATCAGTTTTGCCCATCAAACACAGGGGAATTTATTTGTGCTCTGTCCTACTAGTAAAACTTGAAAATGGTTTCAAAAAGAATTGAATTGAAATTTGATTAATTTTTATGCTAGAAATTTCACACGTCCTGCAGGACGGGCATTTTTGGGAGATTAACTTGTCCAGAGTCATTTTTACTCATATTTATCATTTATGAGCGAACAAGTGGATTTGTCAAGCCTTGATTAACTGCAAGTGATTAACCACATTATTTCCATAAAACTTATACTACATGTAATTACATTGTTTGAGATAATACAGTGTAAGAAATTAGGTTTTGAATCCACTAAGCTGGTCGGACTACCAGATTGAAATATTCACTAGCCCAAAAGACATTTCACTAGCACAATTAATTTGTTCAAAACAGTTGTTTATATTCCCTCTGAAAATACAGTAGCCTGGTCGGGCTTGTTACTGTGAAAAGTTGGAAGCCCGAGATGAAATTTAGTAGTCTGGGGCTATAGGACTACTGCTAATTTCGAACACTGATAATAAATCATTTGACTTACTAGTGAAATAAGTTTAAGACTGCATAATATTGATATAAAAGTGAATTCAGTTAGTGGTGGTTTCCAAACTACAGGTGGAAACTGTTTTCTATTTTTCTATTCAAGTTTTTTTTGATGAAACAAAACTTAATCCTGAACAACAGTTATATATGCTTAACAGTGTTTGTTATTTTTGAATATTTTAAAATCTGTTAAAATATTCATATTAAATTCATGAAAAGAAGTTTAAAAAAAAGAGAAAGAAATGAGATTTGGGCATAATTTTTTTAAGAAGGTAAAAGATACTTCAATTTGAAAAAGTAAGATAGGTAACAAAAATCAATCAAACGAAAAAACTCATTTAAATTTCAAGTTGTTTCCTGACATGTCTAAGTTGTTCTGACATGTCAGAACAAAATTAATAATTTTTTTTTTTTGAAAATCTGGTAACCTCGAGCTATGTTCTCTATCCGATTGAGCTATGGATTCCGACAATTATTACTCACTTTTACAATAATTATTGTTAGTTCAATCATATCTGGAACATGCAACATTCAACTTACCCATATACATGCCTTTAAAAAGGACTGTTTTCGACTATAAATAAACTTGAAATTATAAAGAATTTGCCCTATTATCTTTACAGTCTATTGTGTATAGGCCTAAATTTAGGAGACACTTGTTGAAAATACGCAATGAAAAATGAATAATTACATTGAAAATACAGGAAATGAAAATGAGCATTTACTTTATCAATATTTCTTAATGTTTCAATGAAGTATGTAATAAATTAAAAGAACTATTGTATTGATTAGGAAAAGTTTTTATTTCAGGTTTGTGAATAAAGGCTTGTTTGTTAGATTTCAATTGTGGCTCAGTTGGTTGTTTGCTGAGAAGCTGTGAAAACATAATTATACAGGCCATTAAGGTAAAAACATTTTTAGCTTTTTCTGATTTGATATATATATATCCATCTTACTGTAGCATAACAAAAGAGAACAATAGAATTCATTCCATAACAATAGAATATGGGGCCATGGCCCTTTAATAAAACAAAAAGGAAAAGCAAGAGTAATGGTCCTTAATCCCTTTTCGGTCACACGGGCAAAACATTTTCTTCAAGTAAGACCATACATTATATATGTTAGAAAAGTTAAAAAGGAAATGTTCATTGTTATATATATATTGGTTTGAAAATCTTTGTATATTTACAATTTTGACCAAATAGTTTCTCAACATTAACTGACATAATTAGTGGGCATTATGTTTCTAACTTCTTTTCCAGGAGTTTTTCAGATTGTATGAATGTCTGAAATTAAGAGGACCCATTTCGAGGATGCTTTTTATGAATGGAATCACGAGATGAAGTCTAAAATGTGATACTGTCAATGTGACTGAAACCTTTGAAGTAAACAGATGACACAATGTTTTTTCAATGTCATGGGCATATAATGAAGAGGTACATGATTATTTTGTATACACTTTTCCTTAATAAATACCTTTCTAAATGTTTGACAGGGCTCAAAGTTTATTTAAAATCTGTAAGCTTGGCACTTAGAGCCAATTGTATATTAATTATTTCAATATCTTTTCATTATGCAATCTGTTGTAATTTTAGGAACAAAAGTCGATAGCAAAAACATTTTAGCCGTGTCATGACGAAAAACCAACATAATGGGCATCCGCCCAGTCTGATCAGGATCCATACTGTTCCTATCAGTTTCTCTACTTGTAATAAGGTTTGTAAGCGAACAGCATGGATCCTGATCAGACCCCAACCTGAGTCTGGATCCATGCTGGTCGCAAACCCATTAATGTTGGTTTTGTCATGGACCATGGCTCATTTGTGACATTATTCACTAAATTGTATTTTGAAATTCAAGTTTCATTCCTTTCA